TTGAATATTACAAAAAAAAATGAAGGGTCCAGCAAGAATTCTTGTTGATGCTTCATGATGATACTTGATGCTTCTCTTGCATGCGATGCCGCTTCTTCCATAACTTTCAATGATTTTTGTTTTTAGTGTACTTCTGAAATCGCGAGCTCTATTAAATTATAGACACACTTTGCTCTATCCTTCTATGGGTACTAACTTTTTGTAACCCTCTTATTCTGCATCATGAGCACATTTTGTTTTAAGCTCTAATATTGGACATGCGCACCGATTTCACGCTCTCTATGCATTTCTTTTTAGTTGAATGCTCATATGACAATTTCCTGCATCTCGTCCATTTCCCACCTTTCTAAATGATTTCAACGTAACCATATGCGAAAAGCATGTGAACGTGCAAAGGAAATCTCGTAGTATCATAGTTATACGTTTTATTCAAAGTTTCTTTCGAAGTTTAGAAAATCTCAAAATAAATAACAAATGTTGCACTTCACATGTGAGTCGCCTCAGCACCACTGATCGATTGATCGCGAAACGCCGTATCAGTTCCACGATTAGCAGACACTCAGCCCACACACCAGTCGAGAAAAAAATGCCCGCGTACGAGAAATGCAATCTTATTTTCCTTGCTACACTGCAGCAAAACGGTCTTTCCAGAAAATAAGCACAGCGTTAAAATTGTAGGCTTTTACGCCATCGAACTGCTACATATAAATTGAGGGAAGAGTTATACTTTGCCAGATATATGTGTATGTGGAACAGGAAAGTTTTCTTTTTGCTACATTGTTATAAAGAGGCTTTTTAAGAAACGGCCACGTAGCGCACTAGCCAAGACATAAGCTTCCGAATGGATACTGGAAGTGCGATGGAAAATCTTTGTTCAGCTAAAGGGGTCGTTTCTTTATTTGTCCCCGGATAACGGAAAAGAACCGAAGATAAGTTTATGGAAGTCTACCGACTGATAATCTTATCTTTGAAGCCGTTAGCTTCTCTTGGAATTGGGTGTTTCCTATAGAAGACCGGAAAATCCGCTGTGAAGGTGAAACACCGCACTTCCATAATAAATGCCTTTCAATGAACCAAGCATACTTCCAAAGTCAATATCTCTTTAACTATCTAATGACTACAAAAACGTTGATAAAATATAGAATACATGTTGAACTTATAATAAAATCGATAAAATAAGGAATAAATGTTGAATAACAGTTAGGAAAATGTTCCTGCTCAGAATGATGTGGTTTTCTCGCCACAATATAGTGGATTTTGACAGATGGGCGTTTTTCTTAATAGAATCTTTTTATAGAAGCTTATCCATTGATATTTCATCATCTAACGAAGATGATGTCCCTTCATAATATCGGTTCACTGAGTAAATTCCCATATATTAATTGCATCGCGTGCGACGCTCGGGGCAACAATGCGGTGCTTGTATGTGGGCCACGCGATCCCTAACAAGCTGGAACGATTCCCTTTGTGTACAATTGCTTGTTAACCTGTATAAGAAGTCCTTGTATGCCGTTCGTACAGACACTAGCACAAAAAGTCTCACTCTGTAGCAGAGTCATAATTTATTCAAAACTAGCACAACATTTACTAATATGGAGATTCCTTTATCCAGCCTTTCAGCACCATGGGTTCCTCTCACTATACAACCTGTAATTCTTTGATGGATCTCTGCCTGTATGCACTGTAAAAGTGGAAATATAGCCACATCCTGAGCAAAGGTTGAACAACTTGGAGAAATCTTTGTTGAGTGAAGTACACTGGTGAGATGTGCTAACAATCTCTAAATGGAATGACACACTCGACTCTGCCACAGGTGTTTTCTAAATTCGCATATTCTTTGACCAGTTTCTACTAAAAACTTGAATTAGTAATTTAATTTTTAGTGACCTGTCTCGTCAGTCATTCATTACGCTCTCTGAGAAATTACACCTACTTTTTTTTCGTATTATGATACAGGATGCCAAGCATGAGCATTAATGAGGGCAATGATAAGTGCACAGTTTAGCTGTCAACAAAATCCATCGGTGGGAGTCGACGAATTTTCGCGTTTCGTCAGCTGTCTACTTCCACAACAGATTTCTCTTTTTCGCACAATTGTCGTCCTGATGGCAATCAGTTACCAAATATTGCCCATGAATTTTGTTATTCATGACGATTTATTGGATTTTTTGCACCGAAGGAAACAATCTCGATCCACTTTATGTTGACTGCTATTGTTTATTCAATGATTTTGAAGCAATACATTGTAACTACTAATCGCTGACTTTATCATCAAAAACCTCATTTCCTATCACTAAATCACATTCGTCAAACTTTTTTGTAAGAAGCAGGGGAGGTTGGACGATCATTCGCCACATCTTTAGCCTAATCACCTTCAATTTTGATAACTGACGAATCTGTCGGCGTCTATAGAGCTATGCATCTCAAATGATAAGGCAAAATCCCTTCTATATTCTCACCATGTCCTCACCCTCTTCTTTATATTGATGAAATATTGTTTCGTGTGAAAAATTAGCACTGTTGATGATTTGCTGTTTTGCTTCAAACATTTAGGGGTAACAGTTGAAATCACTGCGTGCTACGCGATTGACAGGCGACGAGTGGCCTTTTGTATTGTAGAGGCTTTTTTGGAATGATTCCTTACTTTTCAGTACCAATAAACCGGCTATCAGGTTCGAGCCATGGGCTAACTTTTCCGAACGCGAAACATACCTGTTTTCAGAAGCGCAGGTTTCTCAAGTTATCGAACGCTTCAAAAATTTTTCGCAATGCTCATCATTTTTGGATATAGCAAGATAGTCTTTTCGGTTTAGAAGTCATGCCAATACGATGCAGTACACGCTGTGCATTGTGAATGTTGAACTTAAGTTTCTTTTCGTCTCTACAATGCACAAAGAAGGCTGATCTACAGACCACGCTTGTTATTGCATTACCCTTTAGGAGCTATCGAACAAGTGTTAAAAGTATAGCGAAAAATTGGTCTCTGGAGAAAAAACCATGGAAAATATGTGTACTCGAAATACTCTACGCTGTCTGCGAAGGATTAATGGGGGATTAGTTGTTCGAGCGTTTAACTGACGTTTTACCCGGCATTTCTCGCTGCAGCCACAGAAAAATTGAGCTGTTCTGTTATGAGATTATGTTGTCGAATGAATTATTCTTCGTAGATCGTAAATTGCCATCCCGGGACACTACGTTATGATAAGGCCGTAAGCCATCGAGGGAATGCTGCATTTATTATGCTCCATGCTTTATGCTACGAAGAGTTGATAAAAAGGTAGTTGTTCGTCTGGCATTACTTCTAGCCTATTTAATAAATATGCATCGCATTGATTTCAATACACTTACGAAGCAGGAGGAGGATAGAGACAATGAATAAGGAAGATATGCAATATAACTGCTCATACCGCTTTGCGAGTGTCGCCGAAGCAGTTCGATATGTAGAGTCATTTCAATCCTCTCACTGAAAGATGATTTCTTGGTGATTGTCGTCTTCACAGTTGGACTGAGTCGTGAGCTTGGAGTATTGCTCGACAGTACGCTTTCTCACTAATTTCATTCATTCTATTTGATAGAAAACATCCGAAATAATTTTATTCGTTAATGATGTTTATGGCTATCGGATATTATTACGCTTTGGCGGTCATGTTAGTACATACAAAAGTGCTTTGATTTCACACAAATTTTAAAAAATCTACTTTTAGATTTCATATGTCAACTTCACTCGACAATTACACTGATCCCAATAGTGTTCCAAAGGAGATTTGTCTATTAGTGAGTTAATTTTCTGTTTCACCATTTTGTTACACAATAGACTGTTACAATGTTCAACTGCATAATGTGATTATAGTAAATCGCTTTGTAATTTCGACTTTTGTCAACAACTGGCTATAATTTCTCGATTATCAAAAGATTCGAGTAAATGAAATTTTCGCTAATTTCATGAGACAGCTTCAGTCTATGACATTTCAACTTTGAACATGTTAAGCTCCTGCGCATTGAAAGGGAACTTATGATTTTGAAAATTTCAATGGAGAAGGAAATCGCTACAAACCTAAGGTTTCACTTGGGATTACCACTATGTTCGAATTATGAACCGTGGCGGAAGTACACAAAATACGTTTCGTGAGCCTCACAAATTTTGCATCACATCTTGATACTCAGTGATTGCAAGCACTTTGTAAGTAGGAATCTGCTAAATCTGATAAGCATTCTTGTTATCAGCAGTTTTGAGTATGAGCTAAGATAAAAATGAGAGGGTTTTTTGCGCTCTATAAAATTGTGACCGCTATAATTATTGCTTAAATACCGTGGATGATAGAAGGCTACATATTTTTGCTGAAGAAGCTTGATCTGAGAACAATTGGACTGAATGAGAGAAGAAAGGCGACTGATTACGAGGTAATTCGATAGAGCTGAACAAAAAACTGGCTCAAAAGACATACGATAATAGTTTTGAACTCACAGAGTTAGTGTGCGCTAACAGAGCCGCTTCCTCCTACTATGCAGAAATTTTTTTTCTGAAAAGATTCTCTTCTCAGACCTCAGAACATGTGGCAAAACGAGCCACTACCACAGTCGTTTTCAAAATTCGGCAAAGAAGCGATTATATTTCAAAAAAAGCGGTAATAATGATTGGATGTTCGAAGACATCAGCTACCTCCACAACATCCAATTCTTAATTCGAAATGACGAAGAAGGAGTACCCACACTCTCAACTCCAACCAAAAGAGTCAGTGCATCCACATGTGGTGCAGCATGCTATCTATAACGGAAGTTAAAGCCACTCGACTCATGGGGCGTCAAGCGCGCAACGTGAAAATTTCCGACTGGATAGAACGATTTTTTAAAATAAAACTCTGTGAATAGGGAATAGTAGGATTTATCGGGTCGTTCTGGCAGACAGGATATACTTGACATTTTATTTGACCGCCTATTGCGGTGGTATGATGTTGTAATAAACACAATAATAATAAGAAATTAGATCGATCAGGTTCATGGGCGTCGGGTGCAGTGGTTCAGCACGCGCTCCCGGAAAGAGTGAGATCTGGGATCAAATCCTAGCTGACGCTAATGTTTTTGCACATCACTCTGCATTATTAGAATCTATTTAATTGCTCTAATTTACACAGACGATTGATTATTTCAGTGGCGCCTGTTCGAACCACTACGTGATTAATAAGAAAACTGGTGAAATAACAAGTTGAGACCATATACAATTTTAGGATTATTTTTGTCGCCTGACTTAAATGTTATATCTATTGCGAAATAGTATCGTTCACGGCCAAAAAAATTCATACGCTTACGAACACGTGTAGGGCTAAACAAGATTTATTCGTTGAAATTATCAGAAGTGGGGTGTTTGAATACAATTCCTTCTGAGTATTAGATGGCAAGGAAACAAAACAAAAATACTTCAGCACATTTTTAGGAAATTAGAAAAAGAGAAGAGTAGGGAACAGTGAAGTAAAACAGTATTAAATGCAGTTTGCCATCACACTACGACATCCGCTCTACCGTGCAGCACAGTTCGTTTCACTTACCGAATCGCTCCTCGCCATCGTCTGTATATGTAATTTGTTCATCAAATCCAGAAGAAATTTCGTCGTTCATCAGAGCATCAAGGTTTTTTTGTTATTTCGATACTTCGACAATTTTTTCCATCTTTTACTAGGAACACGGCTTGAGAAATGCACTTTCTAAGAATTTACGCAGTGTTTCATGAATAATTCAGGCTTTTTTTAGGTTTTATTATGTGCTCTGTTCTTATCGCACTTTGGTCACGCAGTTGTGTATAGTATCTCAAAAGTAAGTTTAGATTGCTTGAGCAATTTTTAGCTGTAAATCTCCGTAGTTGAGGTCTTTATTATTTCATAAAACAGTATTTTTCACTTTGTAGAGAACCAAAACAGTCACCAGTGTTCTGACGAAATCCATTTTTCATTTGCCAAACAGTAGTAAGAAACCAAGTTCCAGCGGAAGTTCACCATCCGATATTCTGATAGTCAATACAATTGACTATTTTGAAGCCTTGCTTGAGAATAATTTAATCTGACAATATATTGTGAGCCTTCCATGTGTTATTTATGTGCACTTATACGTGCACTTGCACGTCAGTTGCACGGTGCCTTCTCGTTCAGTCAGTTCCTCGAGGGTTAAACCCCTGCATAGGAAATTTGAACGACGAATTTTCTACACTTAGCGTACACTGAAATAATCACCGCGATGTTTCTTATAGATAAGGATCGACAACGAATTTTTTTACATGGAGCAATCGACAACGAACTAAGGAATAGATTTCGAGGAACTGCTGAACGAAAAGTCACCAAGTATCTGGCGAGGCTAGAAGGCCGAATCACATGTCTTGCACTGTATAAGTGCCCTTAGCAGACCTGGCTCAGAATACATTGTCAAATCAACACTAATCTTGAGCGAGGCTTCAAAATAATCCATTCCTTGACTGTTACATATGTACACGTAACAGCCATGCGCATGCATTCGACAAGCAAATACTCTGTAAGAACATTATGGTGAGTGTTCCAACGCACATTGAATGTGAAAATCTCGCAGCCGGCTGCTGCAAATGGGGAAAGTCACCGTGCAACTGATAAGGCTAGAAGGCAAAAACACGTGTTTCGCACTGATAAGTGCCCGTAGGTACCTCATAAAAGGCTCATAATACAATGTCAGAATAGCTTTTTCGGATGATGTCTTTACACATGCAATTATATAGAAAGGCTATGTAAAATCAATGGCACTGTTTGTAAAGCGTTGAAATTTAGCTAAAAGGAGATGGTACGCTGAACAGTGATGCCAGTCATGAAAAACAAGGGTCGCAACCCTTAGTCAGCGCTCTCCAGCAAGTCCACATGTAGGAGCTCTAGCTTGATTGTCCCCAGGATCGCGTGGAGAATCGTCTTGGTCAGCATCCTACTACATTCAAGAAAAAGACGAAGTCCCCCAAACCGCACTGCTAGATCCGCTCAATAGACTTGAGAACGAGCCATACAAAAAAAATGGCTATGGTCTATGGTTCATGATACCTCGAAAGTTAGTTGAAGACAAGATGAGAGGCTACGCTAGCATGTAGTAAAATGATTAAAGGTGCTCTCTAGTTCAAACGTAGACAATAAATTCCGCGCCTCTGGTTCACCAAAACTTTCATCATTCCGGAGACGGAAAATTGAAACCAGCACTGACCTGATGCATCGATTGGCCGTTGAAAGTCATGGTAAGGTCAGATATGCATTTAGTGGAATTCCGTAATGCTTGATACAGTATTCTCTCAAATCTCAAAGAAAATGTGAAATTTTCTACGAACTGTCCTTTTCTTTATTTGGAATTTGCGCAAGATTGGTAATTCTTTTTCCTCAAAATTTGATGGCTAACGTTTCGGCAGCAATGCTTTCGTCAAAGCCCTATTTACAATTATATAAGAGAGATCACCGGTTTTTGTGTGATACACTTGGAAAAAGCTGTGAATAAGGCTCCGCCGAGGGCGTTGCGGCAGAAACGTTATCCATCAAGTTTTGAGTAAAAAGAAGTACATAACTCATGAAAGGTTCAAATAAAGAAACGAACAGTTCATAAGAAATTTCACTGTTTTCTAGTCATACCGAAGTTTAGATATAGTCAGAGACTTTTGAGCTCTCTCAAAAAGTATTTCTATTGGAAGGTATCTTAGCGCTCCTTCTGATTTTTTAATGTTTTGAAATAGTCGAGCCTCAGGTGACAATCCATCAATATTCACGTAACCACATAAAAATGTTGCCAAAAAAATTCTCATAATCAAGGCACACCTTTCCTATTTGTACCTGAACAGTAAATGTGATATGTTCTTGAAAAGGATACGTAATCTTACATATTATATTTATTTATGCCCAGGATCTTTTCAGGTCTATCAACTCTACGTGTCATTTTTATTGTGAACGAATGTCAGATGTTTTTGCCACGGATGTTCTACATCATCACTCACTCATTGATTGTGTTCACGAACTGTTTTATACAAAATACACAAATTGGTTTGATCATTGAGAGAATAGTGGCCACAGTTCTTGTCGACAACTACGAGACCTATTGCGCATCTCTTGGCTACACTCTCGTCGCCGTACTGGTAATAGTTTTTTTTAAGTAAAAAACTTCATATCCAATTCTTTTAAAAGTCCTTTGAGGGCGATATTGGGTCGTTCAAATATTTAGGTCAGCCATTCTCATATATACAAATAATGAGCTTACACAGTCAAATATGTCATATTTATCCATGATAATTATCATATAGAAAATAAGGATTCATCTATCCGCTATAATATGACATTGAGATAATAATCGAGGGGCTTTCAGCTCCCGTATTTATCATTTCTCTGTTCTTTCATTTTTGCCGTGTTGTAGAGTGTGTGTAACCCAGTGGTTGTAGACTCTCTACGATGCACGTGATGCTTTTATTTAATCCCATTCCAACTCCAACCAGGCTCTACATCTCTTCGAGGTTGACAATTAGGCAAAAGACTCCATGGGAAGGCGAAAGCTCTAATTTGAGCTCAGTTTTTTCTGATTCAGCTCACACCACGAAGTTATTGTGAAGGTTCGTTCGATTATAGTTTCGACATCTACGTATTCTTCAAAGCCGATCATTTGAGTCAATTGTCCACAGTCGTTCGACCTTGTTCTGATTCTCGCCCTTGCTGTCGTTGACAGTTTGAGTCAACTCTTCTCAGGTGAAGCCTCTCTTGAATGGAGCACCTCATTCGGCAGTGTTTATCGACATTTGTTCTGTATATACGAATCATTACCGAGTATTCTTGATTCAAGAGGACAATTGACTCGACTTATCGACTCTGGAGAACGCGAAAACGTTGAAACGTTTAGCCAAACAAATGTTCATATCAAACGCGCGGTATTACTAGATCATAAAGAACGTTATTGATTAGCAATACTCAAATCAACGTAAAGTTTTTTCGAAGTTTGATTTGAAGTTGTTATTCAGTAGGTCATCCTTGATCATCGCATAGCCAAATTCGTACTTATTTAACGGTATTTTTCCTTTATTTCACCCTGTTTGACTGCTTTGGTAAAACCGTACTTCTTGCCTTTATTTGAATTGTCACTTGATAGCTGAAAACAAGTGAATCTAAAAGGTATACTTTATTTCTCAAATGACTTGTTTTTTGCGCTGTAACACTCGAAATAAAATCCTGTTCCACATTCAAGGACTTCTCTCCAGATAAAGTTTTTGTCTCTAAACAACAATGACTGTTCGATAGCGCAAATCTCAAAAATTTCAATGAAATAGTTGGTTTTGGAATGGACTCCTTAGAGCGCTGTAACAGTCGAGAGAAGATTGTGTTTCGCACTCCAAAGGGTGAAATTTCCCAAAATTGGCCCCAAGTCTCCGCAATCTTTCAAAATACCAATCATGTGCAGAACGTAGTATTCTTTTGACTGCTACAGCGATCTAAGGACTCTATTTTGAAAAAACTATATTTTTGAAATCAACAAAATTTTCGCTATTGAATGATTATTAAAAGTCTAACGAAAAGCTTTATTCAGGAGAAATGCTTGAACATGAAAGATATTTTTATTTCTTACTGTTAGGGTGAATTAAGGATGTCATTCAAATAATAAAGTATATCTCCATAATAAATAAGATTTTAGCTATCGAATAAACGTAGAAACTCTGGAAAAAATCAAAAAAGGGGTTTTCCCAGGAGGTCAAAACAGGATCCCAGCATCGTGAGTGATCCAAATTTGCGAAGCCCTAATCTTCATTTGACTGTTATAGTGCTTGAAGAATTCCTTTCAATAGATCAAACACACCTTTGAAATTTCTAAAATTTGCCCTATCTAGTACTAATGATCATTAAATTGCATCATTCATTGCATAGGCCGAATTCGTACTCAGCCACTTTATGATATTGAGTGAATTTCTATGTATGACGCATCTTTAAGTGGTTGCTCGAGTTCGAACGCCTCGACCTTCCCTTAGATCGCTAACGCATGATAGGGAAAAATCTCTTTATAGATCTAGCATTTTGGGCGACCTAGAATAGGCTAACGGAAGGGTTGCACGGTATAGT